GGGACAAACTGCAGTTTAAAGCTATTTTACCCCCCTCTGTCATTTACCCCGTCACTCCTTCACTAACGGCCCCGGGGACGCCTCCGTCCCCCGGCTGCTGTTAAATGAGATCAGTTAGGACGGGGGGAGAAAAGTAAACTTTTCCAAAATGAAGAAAAATGAGTCTGTTTTCAAACTGACACCGTTTGGTTCTGAGTCGGGTTCTGCTGCTAAAGGTGCTCCACACATACAGCTGCTGCTTTACCTCTGATTGGAGCCAAACATGGGGGGAGTTTTAATCAGATGTGGGGGGGTTCAAGAAAGGCAGGAAAAAAAATAAAAACATCCAGAGGAGAAGGAAATAATGTAAACACTCTAAACTGAAAATGTTTGTTTGTTTGTTTGTTTGTTTGTTTGTTTGTTTGTTTGTTTGTTTTGCAGCTCCCCCGTGCTGTCAGCACTCAGGCTTTGAGCAGTGCCGGGCTGCTGAGGATGGTCAACAAAGCTGCTGACGCCGTCAACAAGATGACCATCAAGATGAACGAGGAGGACGCCGTGAGTGGAGGGGGCTGATTTCTGTCTGTGTCTGACTTCCTGTTTGACTCCCAGTCTGTGTGTCTGACTTCCTGTCTGTGTGTCTGACTTCCTGTCTGTGTGTCTGACTTATTGTCTGGCTTCCTGTCTGTGTGTCTGGCTTCCTGTCTGGCTTCCTGTCTGTGTGTCTGGCTTCCTATCTAACTTCCTGTCTGTGTCTGACTTCCTGTCTAACTTCCTGTCTGTGTCTGACTTCCTGTCTAACTTCCTGTCTGTGTCTGACTTCCTGTCTAACTTCCTGTCTGTGTCTGACTTCCTATCTAACTTCCTGTCTGTGTCTGACTTCCTATCTAACTTCCTGTCTGTGTCTGACTTCCTGTCTAACTTCCTGTCTGTGTGTCTAACTTACTTCCTGTCTGCTTGTCAGTGGTTTGAGGAGAAGCAGCAGCATTTTGAGAATCTGGACGTCCAGCTGAGGAAACTTCACGCCAGCGTGGAGTCTCTGGTTTGTCACAGGAAAGGTAACGTCCACTTCCTGTTAGCTAAAAGCTAAACTTCCTGTGTTTATAACCCGGTGGGTGTTTTCAGCTGTTTTGATTGATTGATTGATGATGGCTTTGTCATTGTACAGAGCACAATGAAATTACATTTAAGAACACCCATTCAAGAAGACACACATGACAAAAACATAGGGGAACAGGTGATCAGATCATGCAGCGACCAGCAGGGGTCGCACTACCTTTAAAAAGAAAAACGAAAAAAACGCAGAAGGTTAGATGAGGGAAAAACAAAACATCATATTATATCAACAAGGTGGGAGAGCCTAATCTGTAATCAGTTGTTTGGGAACAGAGAAAATGTTTTCGGTCAGGTAGACAATAACAATTTTCCATCTGCCTTGATCTACACTGGTACATCTCAATGTGGTGAATCCAATCAGACAAACAGTGTGGACAAATCTTGCCGAGCCGAGCTCACAGCTTCTCCAGATCAATTCCATCTGGCCAGAAAAGTCCAGGAACCACAGCCGGCCCACGACCCTCAGCAGAACCAATTGCAGATCAAGTTCAGCTCGCTCAAGGCAAAAGTCTGAGTGCTGATAGAACAGCAATCCTTCATATCGGTCAGTCAGCCAGGAGATGAAAAGCCACCGACACTGTTTTGTAGAACACAGGAGACCACCAAGCCAATCTGTAGAATCCGGTGATCAGAATCCAGATATATATCCAGAACAGAGAAGAACAGAGGTCACACCTTTGACATGTCCTCCCATGGAAGAAGAAAAAACTTTGTTCCAAAGATTTTTTAAGAGACCAGCTAACCAAGTCCACAAAATCCATAATTTCTGGTTTTGGATGAAAACGTAGAGAAGGTTCCCAGCAGCAAAGCAGAGAAGATAAGGAAGGGCAGGAGAGAAGGAACAAGTCTTACTCCTTCGAGAGCAGGAACAACATAAGGGACTCTTAGGGCTCCTCTGTCTGACAGATTTGTTTTGTTTTACCTTCAGAGCTGTCGGTGAACACGGCTCAGTTTGCCAAGTCGGCAGCCATGTTGGGGAACAGCGAGGACCACACGGCTCTGTCCCGGGCCCTGTCCCAGCTGGCTGAGGTGGAGGAGAAGATCGACCAGCTGCACCAGGACCAGGCCAACGCTGACTTCTACCTGTTCTCTGAGCTGCTGGGAGACTACGTCCGGCTCATCACCGCCGTCAAGGTAGGAGCACCGCTGCTGCAAGCCGACCTGAAACAGGAAGTCTGTTGTTGTGTGTGTCTACATGTGTTTACGTGTGTGTGTGTGTGTGTGTGTGTTCAGGGCGTGTTTGACCACAGGATGAAGACGTGGCAGAAGTGGCAGGACAGTCAGATGTTGCTGCAGAAGAAACGAGAAGCTGAAGCTAAACTTCAGTTCAACAACAAACCCGACAAACTCCAGCAGGCCAAAGACGAGATCAAAGAGGTGAGACCACCCAAACGGACCGCCAAAAACCAGCAGGTTCTGTTAGTTTTGCACAGATTAACCATTTCAAACTGAAGCACTGATTCCATCAGAACACAGTTCTGTGGGTGCTTTGGAGCAAACATTAAAAGTGTAATGAGTCCTAATGACAGACATGTAGTTTATATTAAACTGACCCATGATTAGTTGTAACATTAGATTTTATTTAATAAACATATATTTTAACTGTAAAATAAAGACTGTTTAGTTTTTATCATTTTTAAAAATATATTTTAACACGGACGGGGCCATTTTATTTCCACACAAAGCATTCTGGGTAAATGA